CATACCATTGAAAAATTGACCCTTATGACTGGTTTTGTGGTCCAGTGTCACATTTATTGAAACCCATTTGTCCTACCGTATGAGCTGAAACTACTTCACTGATGGGTCTGAATGTGTGATTGAGGTGTTTTTGTGAATCTCTGCACATTAAACACACAGGCTGCTTCTCCTCCAGACAGAAGAGATTGAGTTTTTCATGATGTAAACTGCAGACCTCCTCAGGTCCCGATGAGTGGCTCTCCTTTCCCCCCTTCTTCAGGAATGACTCGCACAGGTTTTTTAACACAAGATTACATGGAGGATCATCCTTTGACGATCTCCTCCTGCAGACAGGACACTCCTTAGTGTACTTGGTTCTGCAGAACTGTTGAAGACACTCCTTACAGAAACTGTGACTACACGACAGAAGAACAGGAGCCCTGAAGATTTCACAGCAAATCGGACAAGACATTTCCTTCACAGAGAATGAATCCATTTTCACTGTTTGAGAGCTCCAGCAAACTACTAAGGATTTCAAACACAACCAGGAGAATCACACAAATGCTTCAGTCTATTCTGAAACAAACTCAAACATGCCTTTTGAAAGTGTTTCTCTTCTTCTCCACTGATTGCTGATGGTGTTATGCTTTATCGAGACATTGAGAGAAAACAAACTGAGGTAGTTAAGTCCATGCAAGTTTTGTAAGAGGGCGAAGAGGGTCACTCCTCACCTTAAGGTGTTAAAAGCAGGTCCGACAACATTATCAGCATTTCTTTCCCATGACGTGGCTTAACTTCCTCGATGTTATGAAGCATGAAGTCAGGGTGGGATATATGGATCTCAACCCTCATCTAGAAACAAGCCAATAGCGTTTCACTTGCGTCGCAGGCCGAAAGAACCTTTGACAGACAGCCACAGTTGTTGTATTAAAAATGGAGTATAAATAGATACCCTTTTTAGATACAAACAGTGAAATACTGCTATGCCCCTGTAAAATATTACTGATAAACCCTTGTCTGACGATGGAGAGAGTTTATCGTTTTCCTGAATAATATTTCAGCATGTTTGTTTTCTGTTGGGTAGAGCACGTGTTAGCAGATTGGCGAATGAAACTAATCAACTATATTATTGATCTAATCAGTCAAACGAGATTGCAAAAGGCTCAGCTTGATTGATTTGGACAGTTGTTCACTCCTCCTGTCGTTTGCAGCAGCTCTCACACCAAAATAGTAACAGGATATGATATGACAGAAAGGAAATGGGCTGGATGAGGTGGGCATTTACCTACAATCCATTTCAGATATTTAAATGTACATAAGTACTAGCAAAACATACATTTGTAGTTTGTAAAATACACACCGATGTCAATGTAATCCCCAATCCTTTCAAATATAATTTAATGTTTTATTGATATCATATTCAAATTGTGTAACGTTAGGTACCTATAAAGTTTACTATACTCTTCTCCCAGTTCACCACGGCTGGAAACGTATGGGATT